GGGAGAACCCTCCAAAACATCGTCCCCAGACCCCCCAGGCCCTCCAAGATAGCCTGGAAGAGACCCCCCCCGAAATGAGACCCCCCTCCCTTTATTACGAAATCCGGAGTATTCGTCGGGATTTCGCGAGTCCGGGGCCGCGGCGACCGAGACCGCGGCCGAGGACCGAGACCGCGGCCGAGCTCTATGCGAGGCCGTCAGTGGTGTGGTGCAGAGGGCGGACGCGCTGGCAGAGGACGAGGAGGCAGAGGATGTGAGGAGCCAGAGAGAGGGCAGGAAGGGGCTGAGGGATACGAGGAAGAAGAGGTTGAGACAGAACAGAGAATCTCAGAGCATGGCCGACGGCTTTGCTGATCCTGGCTTCGCGTGGCTGGCCCTGAGGCGGTGCTCATCGCTTCAGTTCGCCAGTTGGGCCGTCTTGGGGCGCTCGAGGGCCGTCTTGGGGGCCTCGTGGAGGCCTCTTGGGCCGTCCTGGGGTGGTATTGGGGGCCTCGAGGGCCGTCTGGGAGCGTCGGAAAGGAGGAAAGGCGAGAACGCCAAAATCTTTCAAACACTTGAGGCAAATCAATTATTTTTGCCTCAGGGTCCTCTGAGGAGGCATCTTCGAGGCCTCTTGGGGCATCTTGGAGGCCTCTGAGGTCATCTTGGAGGCCTCTGGGGCCATCTTGAGGCCATTTAGGGCGTCTTGGAGCGATCTTTCGGCTTCTCGTCGCGTTCTGGGGCCGTCTTGAGCCTCTTTGGGCCCTGTTGGCCCGTCTTGGGGCCCCTCATGGCTCCGAACAAGTCACGTGAGAAGCCGCGAGAAGCCCCAGGATAAGATTTTGCGATGTGGGGTCTGAAGCTCTGACAGACTCCTCAGAGGTCAGGACTGAGGTTGAGAGGATGATGGCAATGGCCTGAGGGCACGCCCACTCCGTGCCCAGAGGCACGGTGGCGGATCTACATAACCATGATCATCGGATGATCATGGTTCTGACGGATTGCATCGCATTTCCGAACTCCAATTGGGGAGTCGTCCGGGGGTATTTAAATTTGTTTTTGTTGGAGTCATGGGGGGGCCGTCGGTATATTGGGGGAGGTGGCATATATTATTCAGGACTAGCGATGACCCCATCCGCGAATGGGAAAAATGGGGTTGGACAAGGAATCGCGATTGACCATCTCCTGCCCAGAACGCGGGTGGGGTTTTGAGCTAGGAGACCCCATGCGAGAACTTGTCCGGGTCGGTTTCGGCGAAGCCATCGAGATGGTCCGGTCGAGCTCGCTTGAGACATCCTTGCAATGGTGTGCTTCAAGGTGCCGCGCGAAACATAGTCCAGTCCATTTCGCTTCGACATCCTCGCCGCTGTCCTGAGGCGGTCCAGCCTTTCTTGCTTAAGACATTCTCGCAGTTGGGGGCTTCGAGACATGCGAGAGGTCCATCCAGCTTTCCCTCAGACGTTCTCGCAATTCAGGGCCCATGGATGCCCTGACCTGAGGTGGTGCAATCAGTTTCGTTCACACTTCGTCACGACTCTGGGCTCGGGTATGACCTGGCCTGAGGTCGTTCAGCCATCTTCGCCCGACACCAAGGCTGCACCTAAACGATGTTTTTCTCTGAATTTTAAGCGTTCTGTTTTTTGTTTTGTTTTTTGTTCTAAACGAGTTTTGTTTTTGTTCGAAACAAATGCTCAAACGATGATGACCGCTTGTCTGAGCGACGCGTTCTCTTGTATTTTTTGTTCGGTTGCGTGCAACGTGCCGTGTCTCGTTTCTTTTTGGAGTATGTCGCTTCAACTTGTGTTGTGTTTTTGGTTTTGTTTCACTACCAGGCAGTTCTAGCCGCGCATGGGTGCTTCCAATGTATGGTCTTGCGCTTGTTTTGTTGTTCGGTCTGCTTTACGTTTTTCTGTTTCGCCGCCCCCTTTTGTGTTTTGACTCTCTGCCTGGTTGTTCGGCGACAATCGGATTCTCGCGGCCGCATTGTTTTTCTGCACATTGTTTTTGTCGGCGCCCATTGCTGTTTGTTCGGCGCATTTCGGCTTGTTGCGGCGCGCATTGTTTTTGTTGGCGCCCTTGTTTCTTTTTGGGGGGCACCCTGGATTTTTTCGGTGCCCTTTGGCCGCTCGCGGCGCTCATGTTTTTTTCGCGCGCCTTGTTTTTTTTGCGGCCTTGATTTTTTTCGGCGGGTTTGGCGTCGTGTCAAGTTCGCGGGAGGGGTCAGTGAGATGCCAGCACCGTGCACGACGTCACGCCGTGTCGTCGAGAACAGGACAAAAAACAATCGTATGTGCAGAACCGGACCGAACACAATGTGATATAGTATAATTCCGCAGAGACCGAGCACTGGCGGCGTATCATGCGCGACATGCGCACCAAGCCAAGGATGGCCTCAGAAACAAACAGTAACACCAACGACCGATCATAATCCATATCAAACATGTCAGGCGTCAAGACGTCACGCAGCCCCGTCCACAACATAACACAACGTAACATAACATAGTGTTCTATACTACACTGGGGCAGAATCGAACATAACATAATATAGCATTGTATTACGTATACGCCAGCCACCACTTCACGGCGTCTCATCAAACGCGAAATTCGCCCTGTCGTCAGAGGAGGACGGGGCTTTCGGAGATGGAGGACGAAGGAGAGGTCCGCCTCACCTCCTCCTCCTCCTTCGTCGTCCGCCTCCTCCTCGTGCTGCTGCTGCTGCTGCTGCTCCTCCTCTTCCTCTTTCAACAGGCTGCATTCTCTCTCCGAACAAGTTTTGGGGTCTCGCAAGACGCGTTTTGGGGGCTGGTTTGTCGCTCGGGGGACTCGTTTCGGTTTCTTTCGTCAGGGGCCGTGTGGTTGTTAGAGTTTCGGGAAACATCAACTTGCGACATGGTCCTGTCGCCGCATTGGCCCAGACCGCCGGGCCCCGCGCACATCGTTCCAGCAGGCGCGCGCACCGTTAGGAACAAACGCCGAAGGTTTCGGTGGGGATCACTCGAAGCAAAATAATGTTTTTTTACTGACGTCGCGATGTGCGTAGTGGGGGCGTCCTGTCTGCAGTGTTTCGAGGATTTCCTGAGGTAAGCGGCCAGAACAAACGCGAACGGGATGGTTTCTTCAATAATTGCTTCTGAGCTCTACTTCCAGGGAGAGGTGCGTATGATAATGCATCTTTATCCCGACTTGCCCTACCCGAGCTGAGGATAGTCTATGTCTTTCAGAGCACGTCTTGCCGGTGCCAGTTTCAGATAGCGCGTGCGTCGATCCTGTATCCAGTGGGCTTTGCTGGGATGGGTCCATGCACTCAGCTCGTCTCTTGCTCCTTCTCTCTATTCCCTCTCTCTCGCTCCCACTCGCTCTCTGTCTCTCTCCCTCCCTGTTTGTCTCTTTCTCTCACTCTCTCTACCAACGGTCGGAAAACCATCCCGACCCTCATACCTGGCGTTTGTTCAAGAGCTCTGGGCGTTTGCCGAGCAGTCCTGCCCTGCTGGAGTTCTTCTGCGGGCTCGCTTGCTGAAGGGGCCTCGCCCGTCGGGGTGCCTGCGGCCAGGACGCAGGAGCAAGGACCACTTGGGGCTCTCGCGGGCCGTTCCTTAGATCCGGTTCGGGGAAGGCCGCTCCTTCGATCCGAGTGAGGGAACCTCTCTGTGCCCGAGGCTCGCGGCGCCAGAAAAACCCACTCGTCCCTTGCTTGCCGCTCGTGATGGTAGCGCGAGGGCTGTACTCTGAGGGTGTCACTCCTGTTATATCCGTAAGGGCTTCGCCCCCTGCCGCCGGCCCCCTCTCTCGGAGAATGGGCCATGGAAGAGCTAAGTTATGAGGCCTTGGCGCTGTCGTGAAGCAGTATCGAAACTTCATGCGAAGCCGATTCGCAATCAGCAAAACCAACTGATCACAAGAGGGGTTACCACACCTGGCGATTGGTAAGACGTGTATGGTTTACGGGCTTGGTTACCACACCTTGCGATTAAAGGGCCGAGGGAGTTCTCGCAGTTTGGGTTACCACGCCTTGCGATGGATGTGCGTGAAGGGTGGCACCGAATTTCAGAAATGTGCCAAATCCCCTGTGTTTTTGGACCCTGACCCCGCGGATCTGCGTGAGGGGTGGCACCGAATTTCAGAAATGTGGCAAATCCCCTGTGTTTTTGGACCCTGACCCCGCGGATCTGCGTGAGGGGTGGCACCGAATTTCAGAAATGTGGCAAATCCCCTGTGTTTTTGGACCCTGACCCCGCGGATCTGCGTGAGGGGTGTCGATTTCGAGCCCCCCCAGCAATTCAGACAACGCGCCCAGGAGACGCTAAAAATCTGGTTTGGGCCTCCCCCCCCTCGCGCGGTCAATCAACTAGTTACAGTAACCAGCAAGAAGCACAACTGTAACACTGGAAACTACAAGCTACAACTGGTACAGGAAACTGCGAACCTCGCGCCTACAGCCTGGTGGCCCCACAAGGGGGCCGGCGGATTGCTCCCATCGTACTTGAGGACCACATCCCAGAAATAATCTCGCGCACCCAGAAAAGTAGATCGAAACAGTGTCGAACGAGTGCCGCCTCCCAGGGTTCGACACGTGAAACCTCTCAGGTTCCAGCACGGTCTGGTGCTCGAAATTCGTCATGCTGATCAAGGCTAAAGTAGGTTGGAACATCATAACCTTCCTGTTGTCTCCTCCGCGGGACCCGTGGCTCTCTATGTCTTGCTAAGGAGGAAGAAGAGCAGGAGGAGCAGGAGCAGGAGGAGGAGGAGGAGGAGGAGGAGGAGGAGGAGGAGGAGGAGGGAGAGGAGCAGGAGCAGGAGCAGGAGGAGGAGGGGAGGAGGAGAGGAGGAGGAGGAGGGAGAGAGGAAGGAGGAGGAGGAGGAGGAGAGGAGGAGGAGGAGGAGGAGGAGCACTGCGATCTGCGACCACGCCACCGCCGACGGCTGCCGAGGCCCGCACCCCGCGCCCCTCGCCGCGCAGCTCGGTAGCGCAAAAAACCAGGGGCGCGCTGGCGCCGCCCCGCGGCGCTTGCGCGGCGCCCGAGGCGACATGGTCTCGCCCCCCGCCGCGGTCGACCACTTCTCGGGCATGCCCGTGGCTCAGGACCGCCGCCGGCCCTGCGCGGCCGTCCGCCGTCGTCTGCGCCCCGCGCTGCCGCCCGCCGGCCCTGCGCGGCCGTCCGCCGCCAGCAACGGGCGGAGGAGGAGGAGGGAGGAGGAGTAGGGAGGAGGAGGAGGAGGAGGGAGGAGGAGGAGGAGGAGGAGGAGGATGATGCTGATTCTGATGACGATGACGACGATTACGATTCTTGCGATGATGATGCTGATGATGCCGATGACGTTTTCGAGGATGCTGCTGACGATTATGATGATGCTAACGACTATGACGATGTTGATGATGCTGATGCTGATGTTTCTGATGATGTTGATGATGATGCCGATGATGGTGGTGGTTGTGGTAGTGGTGATGGTGAGTAGGAGGATAGTCATGATGATGACGACGATCATGATGATGGAGATGGGTGATGAGGGTGATGGTGATGGTACAGATGCTGTCATGACGAGAGGATGAGGGTGCTGGTGATGGTGATGGTGATGGCGAAGATGATGCTGCTGCTAATGATGATGGCGATGGTGATGGCGATGGGGATGGTGATGGTGATGGTCATTGTGATGATGATAATGATGATGGTGGTGTTGATGATGGTGATGCTTATGCTGGTGATTATGATGATGACGAAGATGATACGATGATGATGAGCACGCTGATGATGATCATGCTGATGATGATGACGATGATTATGATGATGGTGCTGATGATGATTATGTCAAGACGATGCTGATGGTGATTATGATGATTATCTTTATGTGGAGAATGAGGATCTGGTTGATGACGATGTTGATGATGGTATTGATGGTGATAGTGATGTTTATGTGGGCGTTGACGCTGATGATGCTAATGCCGATGATGATGTTGATGCTGTCGTTGATGTTGGTGCTGTCAATGACTATGGTGGCAATGTTGATGATGAGGATGGTGATGATTATGGTTATGTTGAAAATGATGCGGATAAAGATGATGATGGTCGTGGTGGTGGTGATGATGGTGATGCTTGTGATGGTGACTGTAATGATGATTACGTTGATGTGATGTGGATATTTGTGTTGTTGTTGATCATGATGGTGACAATGCTGGTGGCGGTGGGGATGATGATGGTGGTGATGATATTGATAATGGCGATCATGCTTGCGCTGACGTGTATGCACGTGTTGTTGTTGACGACGATGTTGATGGCGGTGCTGATTATGATGATGATGATGATGATGATGATGATGATGATGATGCTGATGCTGATGATGATGATGGTGATGATGATGGTGTGATGATGGTGATGATGACGCTGATGCTGATGATGATGCTGATCATGTTGAATCTGCTGGTGATGATGATGATGATGACGATGCTGATTATGATGGAGCGGATGATGATGACGATGATGATTATGACGACGATGATGATGCTGATGCTGATGATGCTGATTGTGATGACTATGACGATGGTGCTGAGTCTGATGCTGATGATGATGCTGATGACGATGATGGTCATGCTAAGTATGGTGATGATGCTGATGATGCTGATGATGATGCTGATGGTGATGGCGATGGTGTTTGCGATGTTGATTCTGATGATGCAAATGCTGATGATGATGCATATGTTGGTGGCGATACTGATGATGATGATGACGATGCTGGTGGTGGTGATAGGGGTGATGATGAGGTGGAGGAGGATATTGATGATGCTTATGCTGATGGTGGAGATGTTGATGGTGATGGTAATTGTGATGATTATGCCGGGAGGATGAGGATGCGGGTGATGGTGAAGATCATGATGATGCTGTTTGTGATGGCGATGGTAATGCTTGTGATTGTGATGGTGGTTTGTGATTGTGATGGTTATGATGATGATGGTGGTGACGATGATGATGATGAGGATGATGATGATGTTGTTGATGATGCTGATGATGCTGATGATGATGACGACGACGACGACGATGATGATGATGATGATGATGATGATGATGATGATGATGATGATGAGGACCATGCTTGTCAGCATTCTCTAAATAGGCTTGCCATACAATCGTAGCCATTTTGGCTCAAGCCATTTTGGCTCAATAAACACATTCGTCGAGGCAGCTGGTCAGTTCAGCGTGTGGCCCGCCCTCGCAGCCCACCACACAAGAGGTGGGACCACAGTTTCGGCATCCGACTTATTCCGTGTACCGTCGGCCGCAGCAGGCCACCTCATTCTCGCCTCCATTTGCCGACATGGGAGGGAGGAAACAACGCTCGCGCTATGAGGACCACAATGAACACCGTGGGGGACACCGTCGCAATCGTGACTCCTCCCAGTCTCGCAGCCGTTCCTTTTCAGCGACGCGCAGTCTTTCGAAGGAGCGTGACAATACGACCACGAAGGTAGACCATAGTATGGGGAGTATGGAAAGCTTGAGTCAGGCCGTGGCGAACCAGGCTCAGGATGTTCAAGCGATTCGGGGCGCTTGCAACCCCTCGATCGAACGATGTTCGCAGCTCTCAGACCAGATGAACATTCTCGGCAGAGAACTTCACACTAAACACCAGGAGCTTCAAGGGTTTGTTTCCACTTCGGTTCGCGACATGGACCTCAAGATCCAGAAGCTGCAAAAGGACGTCCTGAATGGTGCGATCGGTATCGGTGTTGATCACATGGACACAAACGCAATCTCGCCGATGTTACATTCGAAGATTGAGAAGTTGGATGCCTCGCTGGCCGACCTCCCCTTTCGTCAGTCCTCGCTGCGAAGCAGCTCGCAGACCTGGCCTCGACACCTACCCCTGGGTCTCGCTCGCCAATATCCTCGCCAGCTGGTGTTCCTCGGGATAGAGGCCAGTTTCAAGATCATACATGTAAATTGGTAATCCTGTGTCTCATTCGAAAGGTTCTTGTCAAGGACCTTCGTCTCGTTGGTGAAACCCGTCGTTTCCGAGTCCAAATGCGAACAAGAGCGTCGTGCGGTCATTCGACATGAGCGAACAGGTCACCCTCCACTTCGAGACCCGGTGGCTGCAGGAACATTCTTCGCTAGTTTTCTGGCGAAGACAAGGACGTTGGAGTACCCAGGCCCGCTGAAGCCGTCGGTCAATCTATCACTGAGGCTTCGCCGCGACATGAATCTCAACAGCCGCCAAATGTTTCTGTCCTTCGGCAAAGTTCGCAGTCGTATTTCTGATCTAGCCCGTGACAAAGGATTGGAACTAGGCTCACCGGCCGGGCATCGGCGGCAGTGTCTATGTGCTACGCGGTCCGCACGACCCTGTGCAGGTGGCCGCTGTTTCGCTCGACCGTCAAGGGAGGGGCACCTATTGTCTTGGCCGCGATGCTCTGCTTGAGTTTGGCATCGCACAACATGCAGCCTGTGTAGACTCAGCAGCGCAGGTGCAGCTTCAACGTCCCTTTCGACTTTAAAGCGGGCTGCCCACTCCCGCTGGCAGTTCCACCCGTTTCCTCACCTCCTGGGCTGAATACGCACGTATTGGAGTACTTCTTTCTTGAATTCTTTCTCTCTGGTTGCGCATGAAAATGTCAGGCTTTCATGACGTCAGTGCGTACTTCGAGTAAGATGGCAACGTCAAGGTGCTACACATACATTCACACAGCTCAGGAGTATGACATTGTTTGCACACAGGAGACACACGGCCACATCGGCGATGTTCATGGAGTGGAGCGGGAGTCCGTGCGCACCAGTTTGGCTTCTCCTCCCTCGACTCCAACCGCGAAGGTGGGGTGATCATTTCAATTTCTGCTCGCCGCGCCCGCTGTTTCGCTGAAGTGCGGCATGGGGAGATCATCCGAGGGAGAATACTCAGAACCGTCCTTCTGGTCCTCGTGGGAACCTCGTTGTCTATAACGTCAATTTTCCGAACGCCAGCGGCCCCGCGCCGATTTTCAGAGGAGTATTTTCTAGGCTCGGACAGGATATGCGACTTCACCTTCCTGGTGGAGATGGGCAACATGAACGTTGTCTGCTGCTCGGATATATCAACTCTACACCAGAGGGTGAAGGTCGCATGCGTTGCGATTCTGGCGCGTTTTCTCCTGAGGGTGCCACCGGCCTCCGATTTTTTGACAAGTTCTTTCCCGTGCTGATTGAAATCTTCCAGGGCAAGGCGCGCGCGGAAGCGAAAGAGGGAATGTGGTGTTGTCTTCCTTTCGTATCGATCGGGCCTGCGCCCCCTTTCCACTTGGTCTCCTCCGTGACCTTGCAGTTCGTGTTCGCGCGGTCGGTTCGCTCGAGTCGTCGATTTGCAGCGGCCGCGCCCCAATCGTCGCTACTCTTGTCCCGTTCAAGCCCTCGGCGGACTCCGGAAAGATTGCCCCGTGGGTTGCCGCCCTGCCTGAATATCGCATGGCCCTCGATGGCCCGCTGCAGCAGATTCCCTCCGGGTGGAGCCCCTGGAATGCTCCTATGAGGCCGCTGCGGCTGCTCAGGCTGCTATGTGTTCCCGCGAGGCGACGCTCTGCAGGAGCGCCGCTTGCATGCGGAGGCAGCCGTCCGCCCTGTTCGTCGGGGCGCGCGTCGCCGACGGGGGCAGGCTGCGCAGTGCTGCCCGAGGCTCCGTGCACACTTTAGCCCCGATTTGCCCGTTTGCAGCCGCATCGACGGGTCGCGCCAGCATGTTCAGGCATTATTTAACAGGATTCTTGTGGAGGAGGAGGACATAGAGAAGTTGGGGATTGAGGAGGAACAGAGACGGTTTCTGCTTGCTCCCAACGCTCGGCGCAAAGAGCTCTGGCGACGTTTTCGGCGGCGGACTTTTCTCGTGGGCATCAATGGCGATGACGGGCGCCCGATTGAAGCGACCCAGGCCTCGCAATTTGTCATCGTCGTCGTCGTTCGTCGTCGTCGTCATCGCAATGGGTTTTCCCTGCTGGGTTTTCTACTTAGCTTTGTTCGCGCTCCTGTAAAACAGAACATACAAAATACATCGCTCGCGTGGGCGCGTGCGGTCGGGTGACCGCGTTCGCCCGCTTTCGTGCGCGCGCACCCGCGCGCGCGATGCTTTTTGTTTACGTTTTCATGTTTTCGTCGTTGGTATGAGCGCATCCTGCAAACAAAGCATGGTTTTGTCTCAACAGTCGTTCAGAGCTGTACAATATCATATACATGCATCGCTTGCGCGTGCGCGTCGTTGGTCAAGTCGAGACCCCACCGGGGAAACCCCATCGTGCCTGCGACTCTTTGGGAAACGTTGCCGTCGTCGGTGTCGCCGTCGTCGTTGGGGTTTCGTTTATAATTCGACCCCTGTTTCAGTTCTCACATTCGTCGGGAGTGAAGGTGGCGCGGAATCACGACCCAGTCTTGGATTGTGATGTGTGATGACCCGCCCCGCGACTGCCATCATACTTCTCCTCTTCGTGGCGCCCGAAATAGCCTTGATAATGACTGCAGGGCACGGCCCCCAAGCGGCCGAAGACTCCGTCAAGACCATTCACGACGCCCCCAAGACGGCCGCAAGTGGACCCATGGCGGGGCCGAGCGAGGCCAACATCACCGCATCCTGAATGATGTTTGAGCTATCTTTTTTTGGGCCTCTGTCAGCTAGACGGCCTGGAGGCTTCCACGGCGGCCCCTGGAAGGTTTCAGAACCGCCCTAGAGATCTCCAAGGCGGCGTCGAAACGGTCCAGGAGGCCCCCGAGACGGCCCAAGGGGCCACCTCGGCGAAGCCGGCGACGACTTACGACGGCCGCGCGCGACGGCGGCGACGGGGAAGACGAGGGGGCGCGGCCGAGGGGGGCGCGGCCGCGAGGGCGCGGCCGAGAGGGCGCGGCGAGGGGCTTGGCATCGCTCGGACGTGTATATTTTTTCCCCGGCGAGGACCGTCGAGGAACATCCTTGTTAATTTGGTGAAATAGCCACGCACGAAACCGAAAAAAAAACACAGGGAATGGACGTCCGAGCGATGGCCAGGGGGTGTGCGGCCTGGAGGGCGCGGCGGCGAATCCTCGACGACCGCCCGCGGGCGGCAACGGTTGGCAGTTCGGCGAGTTCTCCGGCATGTCTATCGAAGCTTTCAGGATCGCGGCGCGGGGCTTTCGGGGCAGACGCTGCTTCAGCAAAACCCTGGGGAACGTGCGCAGCAACCGTTCTGGTCTTGAGGCGTTCCCGGGGGTCCTCTCGATGCCTTCTCTTGGCGTCGTCGGAGCCTCTTGGGAAGGTTGCGTGGCCCGTGCTGGAGCCGTTCTTGAGCCGTCTCGGAATGCAAATTGGGCATCTCGGAGGTCGCGGAAAAGGGCCTCGGACGCTATGAGGGCCCAGAAAGCACGTGGGTTGGCAAACTCGTCGCCCTGTTCCCCCGCCCAGGGCCCCCCGCCCCCGGGCCCGCCCACCCTCTGAAGCGACGTCGGGATCCTGTGGCGGCGGGGGGGGGGTGCGCGGGAAAAGGGGGGGCGCGGCCGCGTGTTCCGCGCGCCACGTCGCCCTCCTGCACGCGGGGGCTGGCAGACCTCCGCGCCTTCGACGCGACGGGCAGCTGGGCCGGGGGCAACGCGACCGCGACTGGCGCCGTCGCCGAGCGCAGCGCCTGCAGCAGGAGCGGCGGCGGCCCCCGCTTCTCCGCGGCGCCGGCGGCGCCGGCAGCGGAGCGCCACCGAGTGGGCGTGCTTCGGCGGCGTGGGCCTCGAGGTCGTCTGGGGGCACGCGCGGCGGGCCGGCGAGCCGCGGCGGGGGCCCGGCCGTGGCCCTGACCTCCCTGGTGGGAGCCGCCGCCTTCGACGGCGCCCCTCTCCGAGGGGGTCTCCGATCCGGGCGGGCCTGCCCAGAGGGGAGGAGGACCGGCGGGCGCCCTGTTGCCGCGGGTCGGGGGAGGGCGTCGAATGCCTGAACATCCACGTCGAGCACCCGGGGCAGGCGGGCCTTCCCGTCGGGGGGCTCCTGGGAGCGGACGACCACGTGCAGGTATCCGCCCAGAGTCACAGGTGCATCCGCAGCGTCGCCCCGAAGAAAGGTCCTGTCGCCGGCCCGAGCGACGGCAGCACGACGTCGTCGACGGATGATCTCACGGATGCGACGTGGTGAGTGACACGTCCCTGAGATCTTGCCGTGCAATTTACTTGCAACGGCCCTCATGATGCGACAGTTTTGTCTCCCGATCTTGGCATGCTGCAGTATTCTTCAGCGTCGTGTATTTTTTCTCAAGATGGTGCAATTTCTTCTGCAGATGGTGTATTTTTTTGCATATGCTGATGCGCTAGGAGTTGCCGCGCCAGTAAATTTGATGCCGTAACGCGACCGATCTGGTCATCGGCGTGCAGCGATCGGCGGAACCCAGCACGAGTGCCTCGCGGGCGTAGATTTCGGGCGACCTGCGTTGCACCCGCACTCCAAACAATACGTATAAACTATATATCAGTAAACGATGTACACACGTACGCACACACACGCACACACAGACACACACAAACACAACAACGCACATAAAGACAAACACAGACAGAAGCACAAACACAAACACACACACAAACACAAACCCAATCACAAACACAAACGTAAGCACAAACACAAACACAAACACAACAACACACAAACGAACATAAGCACAAACACAAACACACACAAACACACGTACAAACACAAACGCAAACACAGACACACACACAAACACAAACACAAACACAGACACAAACACAATCCCAAACATAAACACAACAACAAACACAGACACGAACACAAACATAATCCCAAACACATACACAAGCACAAACACAAACACAAACACACACGCAAACGCAAACACAAACACAAAGACAAGCACACACAACCACAACCACAAGCACAAACACAAGCACAAGCACAAGCACAAGCACAAGCAGAAGCACAAGCACAAGCACAAGCACAAACTCAACCACACACAAGCACATACACACAAACACGAACACAAACAAAAGCACAGACACAGACACAGACACAGACACAGACACAGACACAGACACAAACACAACCACAAGCACAAACACAAACGCAACCCCAAACACAAACACAAACACACACGCAACCACAATCCCAAACACACACACACAAACACAAACACAAACACACACACAAGCACAAACACAAACACAAACCCAAACACAAGCACAGACACAAACACAAACACAAGCACAAACAGAAACACAAACACAGCCACATTCACAACCACAAACACAAACACAAACACAAGCACAAACACGAACACAAACACAAACACAAGCACAATAACAAACACAATCACAGACACGAACACAAACACAATCCCAAGCACAAGCACACTCACAAACACAACACACAAGCACACACAAAAACACGCCCACACACACGCAAACACATACAAACACACACACAAACACACACACAAACACACACACACAAACACACACAAACACACGCACGCGCACACGCACACGCACACGCAAGCGCACACGCACGGCCCGCGCCCAGGACACGATGGGCAAGTCCGTCCCCGAGGCGCCCTCGCGTGCGCTCGCGCGAGTTTCGTCGTCGTCGTCGCCCCTGTCGTCGTCTTTTCGCCTCCTCTGCCACCTCCCCCTCCTCTTTCTCCTCTTCCTCCTCCTCCTCCGCCTCCTCCTCCTCCTCCTCCTCTTTATCCCTCCGCCTCCTCCTCCTTCTTTCTCCCTCCTTCTCCCACTCCTTCATCATCGCCCTCCCTCCTCCCTCCTCCCTTCCCTTCTCCTCCTCCTCCTCCTCCTTTTGGCATGGGGGGGCCAGAGGAGGAGGACGGAGGAGGGGCGAGGCGGGACGACGAGTACCCTGCCTTCGTTTCGCTGTCCACGGCCGGGGCCAGGTGTTTTCTTTTTGGTGTGATGTATGTGTTGTTCCACTGCTGTTTTGTTGTTGTCGTTGTTGTTGTTGTTGTTGTTGTTTTTGTTCTTGGTGTTGTTGTTGTTCTTGTTGTTGCTGCTGCTGTTGCTGTTATTGTTATTATTGTTGTTGTTGTTGTTGTTGTCGTTGTTGTTGTTGTTGTTGTTGTTGTTATTGTTATTATTGTTGTTGTTCTTGTTGTTGTTGTAGTTTCTGTTGTTGCTGCTGTTGTTGTTGCTGTTGCTGTTATTGTTGTTGTCGTTGTTGCTGTTGTTGTTGTTGTTGTTGTTGTCGTCGTCGTCGTCGTCGTCGTCGTCGTTGTTGTTGTTGTTGTTGTTGTTGTTGTTGTTGTTGTTGTTGAATTCTCATGTCTGAAGAATAAATATTGTTGATCCCCCCCCACCGGTGCATATTGTTTTTTCTCAATCAAAGTGTGCCCCTGGACGCTCGCACCCTGTTTTTTGACAGGGAAAGTCTTCCTGCTCAGACTGGGCCCCTGGCCCCCGGGTTACAACAACAACGGCTCCCGCTTGAGACTTCCTTACAATTTAGCCAGGACCCCTGCTCCCGCCCGAGAGGTCCTCGCATTCTATTCAGGAATCGCGCTCTCGCTTGGGACCTCCTTACAATTTATTCAGGAATCGCTCTCCCGGCGCTCTGGAGTCGCGCTCTCGCTGGAGACTTGCTTGCAACTTACTGAAGAATGGCCTTGCGTTGGAATTTCTTGCAATTTGCCCAAGCGCCGCGCTCCCGACACCCAGGCACCCAGGAGTCGCGCCCGTTGTGGCCCCATGTGCATGCCCTTCGTGGCCCCGCTGTCGCCATTTGTGTCCCCCTCACTGTCCTACGTGGCCCAGTTGCTACCCTCAGTGGCCCCATAGTTGCCTTCTGTGGCCCCGCATTATCTGCACTTCGTGGCCCCCGCTCGTTCGCGCTCTTCGTGGCCCCATACGCATTCCCTTCGTGTCCCCGCTGTCGCCCTTCGTGGCCTACTTCGTGCCCTTCGTGGCCCTGCTGTCGTTCTCTCTCGCTCTCGCTTTCGCTCGTCGTCGCCGTCGTCGTCGTCGCGTCGTCGTCGTTCGACGTCGTCGTCGTCGTCGTCGTCGTGGTCGGTCCCCTGTCCGTCCCTCTTGGGGTCGGGTCGACGGTCCGCGGCCGCCCCGCCGATCAGCGCTGCCGCTGGCCAGGCCGACGGTCCGCGGCCGCCCCGCCGCTTGCCGGGGCCCGCCCTGCAGGGAAGAAAGGTATGCCCCCCAGAAGGGGTTCGATCGAAGACGAAGAGGGTGGGTATCGAGGGTTTGGGAAATACGCGTTATTGGACACTCGAGCATATAAGGGCGAACAGTCTTAAATTTATTGTTGTTGTTGTTCTTGTTCTTGTTCTTGTTGTTGTTCTTGGTCTTGTTCTTGTTCTTGTTACTGTTCTTGCTCTTGTTGTTGTTGTTGTTGTTGCCGTTGCCGTTGCCGTTGTCGTTGTCGTTGTTGTTGTTGTTGTTGTTGTTGTTGTTGTTGTTGTTGTTGTTGTTGGTGTTGGTGTTGGTGTTGGTGTTGTTGTTGTTGTTGTTGTTGTTGTGATTGTTGTTGTTGTTGTTGGTGTTGTTGTTGTTGTTGTTGTTGTTGTTGTTGTTGTTGTTGTTGTTGTGTGTGCATGTCTTTTTCTCGCAGTGTGTTTTTTTCCACGGCTCCGTGCCGGCGCGGCGCCGCTCCAGGGCGCATGCCGCTTCCATCCGATGTGCCCCGGCTCGACCCCGTGCCGGGTCGACGCCGACGGGTCCTGCCTCCTGGCCCGAGAGCCCCTGCGCCACTCCTCACCACCCACCAAACCACCCCAACCCAACCCGAAGCCCTCAATTTGCCTTCCATTTCCAGTGTGGGGGGGTCGGGGAACGTTGAAAAAACACATGGTGTCCGTACCCCCCCAACCCGAAATTGTTCACGCTTCGCGAATCCCCACCAGCCCATCCTAAAACAGCCACTTTAGCAAAGAGTACCGACTGTCGGGATTTGTTGGTCATCTTTTCAGCAATGATGCCCAGAGGAGTTGCTTTGATTCGATCAGGGAAGTGTGGGAGCATACAGAGAAACGAAGGACAGGGGATGCCGCCATATCCCAAGAGGGGAGGATGGAGGAGGAATCGGAGGAGGAGGTGGGGTAGGGGAGGAGGGAGGAGGAAGAGGGGGAGGCGGACGAGAAGGGGAGGACGAGCAGAAGGGCCAGAGGCCTCTTGGATGCATCGCGGAGTCTCTTGGGATGTCTTTTGGGAGCCTCTTGGAGGCCTTTTGGGGCGTCTTGGGGGCCTCTTGGCGGCCCCAGGGGCTTCTAGGAGCGTCTTGGGTGCCTTGGGGGAGCCTCTTCGGGCCTCTTGGGAGCCTCTTGGAGGCCGTTTGGGGCGTCTTGGGGGCCTCTTGGCGGCCCCAGGGGCTTCCAGGAGCGTCTTGGGTGCCTCGGGGGAGCCTCTTGGGGCCTCTTGGGGGCCTCTTGGGGGCATCTTGGGGGCCTCTTGGAGGCCTCTTGGGGCCTCTTGGGGCTCTTTTGGGAGGGGTCTGGGAGGTATCTTGGGGCCATCTTTCGGGCGATCGATCACAGATGGGGCGAGCACTTTTCCCCCCCCCCCGTCGGGGCCAGAGTCCTCGTGAGGGGTGTCGAATTTAGCCCTCCCAGGAGTCGAAAAAAACCCTTCCAACGACCCGCGGGACGCCCTCTCCAGGCCCAGGGGGAGGGGGTAGGGGGAGGGGTAAACCCCTCCCCGAAGGGGAAGAAGGGGGTTGAGAACAGAGCGGGCTCTCTAAACCACTCACGCCCAAAGGGCTGGTGGGATTCGGGTCAGATTCGGGTCTTCGGGTTTGGTTGGGGTGGTCTGGTAGGTAGTCAGGCCCGAGAGCCCCTGCGCCACTCCGCCCCGCTGCCCTGTCCAGCTCCGGCCTGCGGCCTCCCCTTTCGCTCGGGGGCGGCAGAGAGGGGGGTGATGACTGGGAGGGGGGGGGGGCGGATCTCATGGCGGGGGCCATGATATTTCTTCAGATTTCACGGCGCCTCTTCTCATTTCATGACGTCCCTGGCCCCCCCTGCTGGGCCGCGCACGTGCCGCCGGTCATGATTTGTACCCCCCGCTCTTGGACACCCCCCTCTTGCGCTCTTGGACACCCCCCTCTTGGCCGCTCCCGATCCTGGCCCGAGAGCCCTTGCGCCACTCCGCCCGCTGCCTTGTCCAGCTCCGGCCTGCGGCCTTCTCCGTTCTCTACAGTGGAGACCCGTGCCAAGAAGCACCCTGCCTGCCTCCAGGGTGCCCCGGGTTTTTCTTGGGCTTCGACGGTTCTGCGATGGAAGGCGCGACGTTCCCACACCGAAAATCAATGGATGTCCTGGGGTCTGAGGGTTGGTTTCTTGTGGAAGGTTTCTTGTGGACTGGCCTCCACTGTACACATCACACATCCACCGCCTCGTTGCTCAGGTCCAGGTCGGGGAGTCTAGTCGTGACTGAGGGTCAGCGTAGCCTGATAAGCCCCTTCGTTCCTTGTTCATAGTTCCGCATGGTAGCACGATGACTGCACCTCTCCCCAGCCGAGCTGGAAGGTCACCAAGCTGCGCGAGTGGGAAGACCAGCACGAGAAGGAGCTCGACGCCATCTCCCGCAAGGAGGACGTGGGGGGAGATTTGGGGTGGTGGCACTTCTTCCTCCTCCTCCTCCTCCTCCTTGAGCTTCAGTTGCTAACGTGCCTGTGAGGAGTCACCATCTGTGGTTGCCTTCACGACTGGGTCGAGGATGGTGTCTTTCCATGCGTCTCTGAGTTCGGTGCATTCCGACGGTTGAGCTCCAGAGTGATGATTATGCAAATCCCCTTTTGGTTCTGATCTGAGGGTGATTGAGGCCACTGCATGGTCACATCTGATGGATGCTCAGAAAGTGCCGTGCGCGGCTGTACTTTGATCACCTTTTTCTGTACCTGCTCAGGGTAATCCCCAGCAGAACATCGTCACGACCTTTTTTGTTGATCGGCTTGCAGCTTTCGCTCCTGGTGATTAGAGTTTGAAGGCTTCATCTTAGGATTGCAATGACGAGGAAACCACCTGGGACATGTACGTAGATGAAGAAGCAATCTCCCAATGCATTGATGCACGCTTGCCAGCGTGCTTCGCCGCTTTCTGCGGAAGTACACTCTTATGTGTGCCGTTTGTCTTCAAGCGCGCATGCGACGTGATAATGTTGTCAGTAGTGGTGCGCGACTTGGGGGTCTTCATGCTCCTCTTTCTGTCCCCTCCTGGTAACTAGACATTGAAGGCTTAAGATTTACTGGTTTCGATTACGAGCGGCAGCTCTAATGTATGTGAATGAAGGATGGGGGCGTCATCTATTACCGCACGATGGTCTAGTGTTTGTGCCGCCGTCTTGCCAAGCGCCAGCATGACCGTCATGGTGCCATCTGCTTGGTACCCCATCGTAATTCATGTCCGTTCGACTCGTGCTGTTGCTGTTTGCGCTTGTTTGCAGTGAGCCTTACGAATTCCAGTCGGTATCGTTGGAGGTGTTTCCTTCAGATGTTACGTTTGTGTGAGAGCGTCGGTGATTCTGCCAGAAGCTATCGGCTATATACCACGCTCAGAAACTTGCTATGCTTGATGGTCCTTTCTCACATTTTAGACGGCCTTTTGGTTTGGTCGGCTTGCAGTTCTGCTCGTTTCTAGTAATAGTATGATTGAAGGTTTGGTCTTTTAGCTTCCAAAACACGATTGTACGCTCGCGATTTCGACCTGCAAATTTCTGCTAACACGCACAAGCGGCACGTGTGCCCTGGTTGTCTTCAAGCGCGCATCGAATTGATACACCGCCGTCAGCAGGGAAAGTATGCTTGCTGGTCTCGGTTTTCCTCTTCCAGCCCGCTCCTGCTGAAGGCTTAATATGTGCTGGTTGTAATAGCGAGCGATACCACTGAGACATGTACATGAAGGAAGAGGGCGTCAACCATTAATCTAAGACGCTTCGCGCATAACCACCAGCCCAACCAGTAACGATGCCCAGACGAGTTGCCATGATCCAGGATGTGGAGGAACATGTAGTGGACTAAAGGGGTTGTTAAGGCGTCGTGCCCCAAGAGGGGAAGGATTGATGAGGAATCGGAGGAGGAGGAGCGGGAGGAGGAGGAGGAGGGAGGAGGACGAGGAGGGGGAGGAGGGACGAGGAAGGAGGAGGAACAGGCGGATGAGGTAGGGGAGTTCGGAGGAGGAGGAGGAGGAGGAGGAGGAGGAGGAGGAGATGAGGACTAAGATGAGGATGATCAGGATAATGGGGAGGGCGAGCGTAACGTCCAGAGGCCTCGATGCCCCTCGGGGGCTCTTCCGATTTCTTTTGCGCTTCTTCAAGTCCTTTTTGTACGTCTTGGGGGTCTCTTGGTCGTCCTGGAGGCCTCTTTGAGTGTCTCAGGTGCCTCTAGGGTGCCTGTGGAGCCTCCAGGGGGTCTCTTGAGCGCCTCTTGCGAGCATCTTGGGGGCCTCTTGGGGCCTCCTGGGCACCTCTTGGGGCCGTCTTGGGGCACCCTCGGGAGCCTCGGGGGCCATCTGGGGAGAGATCGATCAAAGGAGGGGGGCTCGATCGAGGAACATTCCAGGGTCATCGTAGCTCGTCTCTGGGTGAGTGAATAGCCTTGGCAGAACTCATTTGCGGACTGTTTCTTTCGTGTCTGGTTGCAGTGTCCTTGGCATTTTGGATGCTCGTCTTGGCTTGCCACTGGCGAGTGATACTGGTGATTCGGGCATTTCCCTTACATAAATACGATGGTTAAATGGTTATATTCGGCCCGTCTTGAACCACGGACCAAAGAGTCGAGCACATGTGCGAGTCCACGGGTGGTAAACATGTTGGCGCAGTGGAATCGGCTGCGGGGATTCTTGCACCAACAACCGACCAATCAATTGAGAGAGGATTGAATCTGAGCATATCTGTTAGGACCCGAAAGATGGTGAACTGTGCCTGGGAAGCGCAAACTCAGGGGAAACTCAGATGGATGTTCGTAGCGATACCGACGTGCAGATCGTTCGTCGTTCTTGGGAATAAGTGGCGGAAGACTAATCGAACCATCTAGTAGCTGGTTCCCTTCGAACTTTTTCTCATGGTAGCTGGAATTGAACAGTTTTATCAGGTAAAGCGAATGATAAGAGGAATCGGGAGCTCGTTGCCCTCGACCTGGGTACGATCCAGTGGTTACTTGGGTGAACTTTGGGATACATGACAAGTCTAAGTTGGCCTTTTCTGTTAAGCAGAACTGGCGGTGAGGGACGAACCTACCGTTGAGTTGAGGTGATTATCTGCTCGCTCATCAGATACCGTAAAAAGGGCGTTGGCCCCATTTTAGCAGCAGGACGGTTGTCATGTAAATTGAAATCCGCTAACGGGGGGAACAACTCACCTACCGAATGGACCCTGGCGCTCAATCTGGTGACCGATACCCAACCACTGTCGCAATTGTGTTGCGTCAGTGAGTAAAAGGGAAAGGGTTTTGTGACGAAGCTTTTTGCGTACGCCGGGGTGGAACGGCTCCTGGTGCAGATCTTGGTGGCAGTTGCAAATCTGCAAATGAGAGCTTTTCAGACCGAAGTGGAGAAGGGTTCCACGTGAACAGCAGTTGTAGGTTCCCCGCACCAGGAGGCCAGCATGTAGCCCAAACCTAGGTAAACATCAATGATCTTAGCTTTCTCGCCGAGTCTTCTTGGGGCCTCTTGGGTGCATCTGCGGGGTCTTTTGGGGGTCTCTTGGGAGCCTCTTGGGGGCATCTTGGAGGCCTCTTGGGGGCCTCTTGGGGGCCCTTTGGGGCTTCCTAGGAATCTCTTGGGGGTCTCTTGGGGCACCCTTGGGAGTCTCGGGGGCCATGTTGGGGCCATCTTGGAGAAGATCGATCAAAGGAGATGGGGCTCCTTAATCGGTGTTCCCCCCCCCAGGGAGGCCAGAATGCGGGCAACGCCTTCGTAGAAGCAGTGATTTGGGCCTTCTCGCCGAGGCTGTTGGGCCTCTTGTGTGCATCTGTGGGGCCTCTTGGGGCGTTTTCGGGGTCTCTTGGGAGCCCCTTGGGAGCATCTTTGGGACCCCTTGGGGCCCCCTGGGCACCTCCTGGGGCCATCTTGAGGCACCCTTGAGAGCCTTGGGTGCCATCTTGGGGTCATCTTGGAGGAGATCGATCAAAGGAGGGGGGCTGATCAAGTAGGTTCCCCGCCCCCATGCGGCCAGCATGCATTCAGTGATTTTGGCCTTCTCGCCGAGGCCATCTTGAACGCTTCAACGTCTCGAGACGCTCCATCCAGGTCCAGGGGGGGCGGGTAGGGGGAGGGGTCAAGGCACCCTCACCTGCAAGCTGTCTCGGTCACTCCCATCCGACCTCCCAGCGCATAAGTAGCACCCGAGCCTCAACATGATCAGCGATCGTCGATGGATGGGCAGCTACTGGAAACCAACACAGATCCCACGTGCGCGACGCTGGGGCGAGGTACGCCACGCGTGGCAGGCGCGCCAGGGGCGCCAGCGGCGCCAGGCACCCCTGGGGCCCAAGCGTGCCAGGCACGCCTGGCGCGCCAGATGTGCCACGTGCCCCACGTGCGCCATGCGCGCCGCATGGTCCAGCCCAGCCGGGCGCGCCAAGTTCGGGACGCGCGCAGTGTGTGCCAGGTGCGCCTGTGCACGTGACAGCACACATCGGGAAACATGTCGGCGCCCCCACTACCCTTGTCGAAGGCCAATGCGCAATGGCTGTGGGGAAGCCGTCATGATGTCTGGTGGGCTTTCACAGAGCAGGCAACGTGCCAGAACCCCGCCGTTTTTGTCAAATACTATTGGGCACTGAGTGCGGGGTGGCCTCGCACGGTCCAGATTTAGCCGCGAAGTGCCCTTTGTACTGTTTTGGAAAATTTCGCAGCGAAGTGCGCATGGATGGAGGCCTTGCGCGCAGCAGGCAATATGAGGCCCCGCCCCCCCTGCCGTCCCTGTCAACAAACAATACAAGGTGTCCACGGGGCCCACGAGCATGACCCAAGATGATGCCCCAAAGTGTTCTGTGTACTGTTTTTGACAGGGGTGGTATGTGTGGTCTACCCAACCCACACGCCCCAGCGGAAGCGCCCACCTACTCCCCCGAACCCATCACTACGGCGCCTTCTGGTGCCGACTGACAGCGACCGCAGTGCACTTCAGGCTACAGTCGGGGCGCTGAAGAAGGAACCCTTTTCGTTGGGGAAGGGCTCAGTGTTCCTTAATTGTTTTGCAGTTTGCGTCAGGTTTTCCTTCGGTTTTCGATGGGGAACCGAAGTTTAACTTATGGAAAACACGGGCCTCGCTCCTTATTTAGGGTTCCTTAGGTCAACGCCCCGACTGTACGAAGGTACCCCGTGGCAAGGCGAAGGTGACGGACGACCCCTTCTGCCTCCTCTCGGGGGGCCCCACAGCCAAGGCACCAGTCCCCGCGCCCACCGGCACCCTGGACGCAAGGGACCGGGCGACACGACAGCCCGCCACCCATCTGGAGGGTTTCTCCGAAGGGCTTAGGCGACCCGTCCCCCTCCTCCTCCTCCTCCTCCTCCTCCTCCTCCTCCTCCTCCTCCTCCTCCTCCCTCCTCCTCCTCCTCCTCCTCCTCCTCCTCCTCCTCCTTCCTCCTCCTTC